CTGAGCCCCACTTTTGGAACAAGGACTCAAACTTGGGCAGTATTCTAACTTTTAGTCCTAATCCTCTTTCCTTCTTATTACAGTAACTCAATGGGTTTACAGGTGGGAATTCAAGACATACATAACATAAAAAGTTAAATAACAGCTCAAGATAATAGCATAAGTAATGTAAAAGGATGAGACAGGTTAAAAAAATGACTGATATAATAACAATTACTGGAAGAATGACCAGCAAGGCTGTTGTAAGGGTCAGCAAAGAAGTTCCCACGCAATGAGACTTAAGCCTGGTCTTGGAAACTGGGTAAGGAAGGGATAGGTAGGGAAGAAAGGGAGGACTTTTTAGTGTGTGTGTTGAGGGTGAGGATAGGAAAAATACAGGTGCAGAGATAAGAAAGTGTAAGTCTTGTTTGGAGGGAGAATGAGGAAATATTAGATAAAGGAGAGAGATTTGTATTATCGAAGAACGCAAAACAAGATTGAAAAGGCCCTCTTGAATTTCTCACTAAAGGATTTTGACTTGTCTTGTAGACAATAGGGAATCATGAAAGGAATTCGAATGAGAGAGTGAAACTCTGGAAGTAGGGGTTGGGCAGATTCATTTGGCAACATGCCATCATACAGTATGCACTCATGTGGGAAGAGACAGGGAGGGAAGAAAGACCAGTTAGGACCCCATGGCAGTCATGGAGAAGGAGACAAGAACCAGTATTAGAATGGGAGCATTGGAATCATAAAGGGCGGCCAGTTGGATGTGGCAAGATGAAGAAAGAAATGACATAGAGAGCAGAGGAGAAGTTGCTGGAGAGTTTTTGAGCTTTGATAGCTTGAAGAAAGAGGACATGAACAAAGCAGAACAAGACAAGTTTGGGGACTGCCTAGGAAAGTTTAGTTTTTGACATCTTGGGTTAGAAGTAACGTTGGAAAGCCCAAGTGAAATTGTCCAATGGGACGATTAAAGATGTAGACTTGGAGCTTGGGAGAAAGGTCAGACCTAGAACTGAGTTGGCCTGAATTGGCCTAATGGAAGTAGTTCTGGGAATCTGGAGGCCTGCGATCTCATCTCTGCTCTGCCCCTAACTTGCAAAGTCATGAGTAAGGCATGTCTCAAGCGTGTTTCCTTCACTGTACAGTGAGAGGACGCTCAGGCCTTGTGTAATTGCGAAGGTATTCTCAGGAACTGAGTCAACTGAATTGCATTCACCTGCCCATGTGTCATCTCCAAGAGAAAAATCAAAGGTCTGGTTGGGGAAGAGCATTGAGTAATCTTCAGATGTTATAACTCTGGGACACCTCTCAGCAACTCTATCCACTTAAGGAGTTAAAGAGAAGGCGAAGGTGGCAGAGCAAACAGAGAGGAAGTAAACTAAGAGCAATGCAAGAGGAAGTAAATTCTAAGCCTAGGGAATAAAAGGAGGAACTAAAATAGAAAGCATCACAAGCAGGGATAAATATTTATATTAAATGTGACCAAAAATTTAACATGTCTAGTAAATAAAGAATGCATTTAGATATCTAAGAATATCATTCAGATGTCAATTGGAGAAGGATGTAAACAGAAAACGGGTGGGAAAGTGTGCAACCCCATGAGTAAACAAAGAAATGAAACGAGCAAACTAATTGTTAACCATCCAAAAAGATTTCTTATGAAGTTCAATACTAGAACTGCAAAGGAACTGGAATGCTCGTGTGTCACTGTGGCGCTGAAAATGTTTGCAATCCTTTTGGAAATCATGATCCATAAAGGCATTCAAGCTCTTTGGTCTGGAAATCCCACTCCTGGGATCTTGTCCTAGAGACAGAATTACAAGAAAGAAAAAAGCCATACACATTAAGATGCTTAAAGCACAGAAAAACTGAGAGCTATTGAATGCCCAATAAAAGGAGAAGAGTTAAAATAAAATGTCATCCACTGATGGACATCTTTGATGTGGCTTATTCAAATGATAAATACGAAAGATTGCAGCAGCAGGGAGAATGTCTACAATATAGCGTTTTAAAGATTTATTTTCATTTATTTGAAAGGCAGAGTGGTAGAGAGAGCAGGAGAGACAGAAAGAGAGATATCTTCCATCCACTGGTTCATTCCCCAAATGACTACAAACTCCAGGGCTGGGCCAGGCCACAGCCAGGACTCAGGAACTCCGTTTGGATCTCCCACATAAGGGCCAGAGGCCCAAACACTTGGGCCATCATCTGCTGATTTCCAAGGAGCATTAGCAGAGAGCTGGATCAGAAGCAGAGCAGCCAGGACTTGAACTGGCACTCTGATATGAATACTGACATTGCAGGTGGTGGTTTAACCCACTGTGCTGCAACCAGGCCCCACAATAGTTTTTTAAAAGCAGAGTTTTAAAAGATATGTACACTATGATTGTGTGTTTATGAAATAGGTATATGTATATAAACTGAAAAAGCCTGGAACAGGGAAAAATGAAAATAATTGTCTGGAAAATAATTGGTTGGAAGTACAGGTATTTTCTTTCCAAATCTCCTTTAATGCTATCCTATGGGAATTTTTAAATGTTTCCTATAAATGTTTTAAAGAGGACATACAACAGTGACCAGTGAAGCAGGGAGGTCAAAAATGATGAAGGTAAAGGAAAGATCATTAAAGTAAGGTTATTTGTTTTTTTCCAAGTGCAGGGAAGTGTAGGAAAGAAACCAGATTCGGAGAGTTAAGTGTTCATTTTGTGGTGTGGAAATGGAATTTGTAGGCTTCTTTCTAGAAAGATGGGAGTGAAAGAAATAAAAATGGGTAGAATGCTAGCTGGAAGAGCCCCGTGGGGTTAGTCTCAGTGGCAATGCTTTGTTTTTGTCCGGTTGGATTTTGTTGTTTGTTCTTAATATGGGGCCTGATGGAAGAGACTGAAAATGATGAAGAGGATAAGCAAACAAGAAAGAGGGCCACCTCTTATTCAGGGACTTCCAGACAGAAAGGGACAAAGACAACACAGATAGAGATGCAGAGTTATCCCGAATGAAGTGGAGAGAAGTTGAGATATTAGATCTGCTTTGAAGGAGGCAAGGTAGCTCTTAGGAGGTCATGAGGATGTGATGAAATTGTGCCTTGAGAAGTCAGAAAAGACAGGAAAGAGCTGCTGTGGAATGTTTGCCAGGAATGCAGCAGGCTGAGAGGCAAGAGGGCTTAGGCGAAATTCCAGGTCAGGAAGTATTAGTGGGTCAAGCCAGCCTTGTGCTCCAGCTTCCTCTGCAACCCAGTTCTAGGAAAGAGGAGAAGACTGGATGGAGCACAGTGAAAGTCAAGGGGTTTCACTAAAGCTAGTGTGCAAGGGAAAGCAGCCCTAAAGTAGCAGACCATGAAGTCTAGGCAGTTAGGAAACGAAGGAAGCTGGGTCAGTCACATTGGAGAGAGCTGCTGTCCTGGGTGGGGCTGCTGGGTAGGAGAGCTCATGGTAAGGAGACCGCAGTCATAGGCAAAGAGGAGAGAGAGAATAGAGATGAGGGACAGCATAGGCAGCGTAACCATGAGACTGGATGACCAGTGAAGAGTGGAGAACAAGACCGCTTCATTAACCCCCAATGAAAGAAGGACCCTGGGTAGCAGGTGGGGCCTGGTCATGTAGGAAGGAAGAGGGAGCCAGCAAAGAATGAAAAGGGGGACGGGAGGGCATTGAAGCCACTTCTTTTGTGCAGTCCAGCCCCAACCCTACTCTCCAAGAAAGACTCCTTAGAAGTCAAGAAAAATTGGCTGTCACCAGACAATAGGAAATGAGGGACAGGTCAGCAAGGGTCAGATGAAAGAAAGACAACTTGGGGTCTGCCTCAGGAGGCCAACAGAGGAGAGAGCAATTGCAGAGGAAGCCCCTTGCTCAAGAATGCCTGCCCGGAAATTCTCACTCCCAAGACTTAGATGTTAGCTGCCCAAATTCCAGAACACCCACCCAACCCTTTAAGCTGGAGAGAGAGGGCAGGAGTGGAGTAGGTGGGAAACTTGAAGGGGACCCATCCTAGTCCCAGTGCCCCCACCCCTGGCTTCCATGTCCTAAAAGCCTGATCTGAAAGAGCTGGTGAGAGATTTAGCATCTATCTGGGGCAGGAGCTAGAGAAAGAAGAGAGTCCAGTGAAGAGCCAGCCCTGGGCATCAATTTCCGTCCCCACCCTATCCTCTGCACAAACCTGCTCTGCCCCTGGGTGCCGGAACTCACAGCCACAGAGAGCAAGCTCCTCCTCCTCCTCAGCCCCCACCATCCACTCTTGCTTGCAGCCAGCACAGCGGGGCTGCCCAGTGTGGTCTCTGCAGCGGCTTTAGAGGATGCTCAGTCCCTTGTGCTGTGGAGGCTGTCCCTGTCCCAGGATGCACCTATGCTAGGACTCTTACCCCATGGTGGCATACCAGTTCCACAGGGCCAGGTGTCCAGCTGCATGAGATGCCTCTGTACAGGCAAAACTGTCCCATTTTTGAGGGGGAAACCAGGAAGTGGGCATGGGTGCTACATATGGCACAGCCCCAGCGTCTGGGTATGCCAGGGTCCTCACACACGATCCTGCCTATCAGCATCGGAATAAGCCAGGCTAATCCCAAAATGAGTCCGCCTTCTCCACCTGGATGCTGTCTCTGATGGAGCTGGAGAGACGCATGCCATGTGGGAGGGAGATGGGACTGGGGACGAAGACCTAGGGATGCTTTCCAGGAAGCTTGCAGGATCAAGAAGCAGGCCCCATGGCCCCAGGAAGGGTCAGAGTCAAAGTCAAAGAGAAAGAAAAAGCAGAGGCAGAGGAGTAGGCACTAGTGCCTTCAGCTCACAAGGAAGACACCCAAAGGGGTTTATGAGAGATGCGGCCACACAGGAGCTCACCTGCCAGCCCCGCCCCACCAGCCCTCAGGAGGAGGGCTTCTCCCCTCCCCTTCCCTCCCCTCCCCGACACACACACACACACACACACAGAGAGAGAGAGAGAGAGAGAGAGAGAGAGAGAGAGAGAGAGCCTGGAAAAAGGCAGAAGGGCCTTATCTGGGTGTCACTATTAGGATCGCTCACCTCCGCCCTTTCCGCTCACTTCCCAGCATCCAGAGTTGCGGAGTTACAATCTGTCTGTGCCAGAGGCAGGGCAGCTGCCACCCTGGGGAGTAGCTGGCCACCTGCAGCTGCTATCCTCCGGTAGGGACACCAGTGCCAGAGAGGAGGCAGTCGTGGGGGGCTGGGGCCCGCCAGTGCTACAGAGCTGCCGGAACTGACGGCGGTACTTGTCCCCAGTAAGCAGGTAGAGCACGGGATCCAGGCAGCTGTTGGCACTGGCCAGGGGCCGAGTCACTTTGTAGACCACGTTAACGATGTTCAGCACCCGGCAGTCAGCTTCCACCAGCCTTGCCAGGTAATAAATGGTGCGGGTGATGTGGAAAGGCACGAAGCACACAGCGAAGACGGTCAGCACCACGGCGATGGTGCGGAGAGAACGAAGACGAGACGACGAATGGGCAGCCCCGGGCAGGGGCCGGAACAGGCGCCGGGCCATGAGCCCATAGCAAATGAGAGTGACCAGGCAGGGCAAGCCAAAGAGCAGTCCCATGATGGCCGAGCTGAAGTGCACATAGCGGTCAAACTCCTCGGGCCGGGTGGTGTCATGGCACAGGATGGTGGCACCCCTGGCGCTGGTCGTGACAAAGAAGAGGTTGGGCACGAGGCAGCCGGCTACGACCAACCAAACTGCCAGGCAGAGAAGGGCTGCCAGGCGCGGGCGGCCCCAGCGTAGTGCCCGCAGTGGGTGGCAGATGCCCAGGTAGCGGTGCACGCTGATGCAGGTGAGAAAAAGGACGCTGCAGTAGAGGTTCCAGTAGAAGAGAAAGCGCACAAACTTGCAGAACCCAGTGCCGAAGGGCCAGTGGTTGCGGGCTGCATAATAGTAGATGAGGGTGGGCAGTGACAGCACATACAAGGTGTCGGACAAAGCCAAATGGAACATGTATGTTGCCATTGCATCCCAGGGTCGGAGGCGGAAGAGGAAGAGCCAGAGGGTCGGAGCATTGAGGCCCAGGCCCAGCACAAAGACGACCGCATAGCTCACAGGCAGCAGGATGAACTTGAACTCCTCGTCAAACCAGCAGTCTAGCTCCACCTCCCCATCGCCGGGAGCTGGACTGGGGCTCAGGGATCGCAACAGCGAGGATTCCACGCTGGCCATGCCCCCTCCCACCTGGAGATGGAAAAAGGGCAGAAGTGAGGGTGGCTGGATCTTGTTGGCCCCATGGGCCTGACTTGGGAGAAAAAAGTACAGAGGAGGGAGAGCTGTGGTTGAAGCACTAGGGAGAATTGAGAGGGGTGCGTCCCAGCACAACTGAGGCCACTCTGGCCCCTACCAGAGCTCCCCTGCTCCAGCCTGGGGAGTGCAGAGCCATAGGCAGTGTCAGGGCTCAGGAGGGCAGTCAATGGACTTGAGCTGTCCTTGTTCTGCAGCTGACTCTGATCTTCAGAGTCTGGTTTAGCTGGAGAGCGTGGAGGTCCAGCAGTGCCAGCCAAAGTGGGAAGATGGCCAGACCTACAGTGCCTCCTAAACCACCATCACAGCTATGTCCCTGTGTAGAGGGGCATCTCTCCCCTGAGGCCTCCCCCTTCGCCTCTCACCCTGGTCCCCGTGTCTCCATACGACATCCCACCCCCCACCTGCCCGCAGCCCAGGAGCCCCACCACCACTGTTGCCCAAGAACCTTGGCACGTCTCCTACCTGGTCCCCTTGACGCTGAGCCCAGCTGACTCTGTCACCTTTTACCTTGGCAGCCGGAGGGCATAACCCAGGGGGTGGGACCAGGGGTGGGGACTGTTCCTCCTCCCATCCTGGAAGATGGTCAGAGCCAGAGAGGCCCATGGAGATTAGCTAGCCCAACCCGCTGTGTGTACAGATTGGGCAACTGGGGCCCCGAGAGAGATTACTCTATAGCAGCTTCAAACTGACTGCAGGAGAGTACACAAGGAAACATCCAAGTTTACAGATGGAGAGCCAGGCCGCTGGAGATAACCAAACGACAGGAAGGCCATGCAAGTCCATGTAAGTGAGCAGAAGCACGGGAGTTGAATTTGAACTTGGGCAACTGCAAGATGATATATTGGAAGATTTTTGAAACTCCAAACTAGTGATCCCAATTTTAACTCTATATGTGTATGATGGTAACAAATGCTTCTGTAGCACTGATCATCAGGCAGGCGCCTACTTACCAACAACCCCACGCGCCCTCTATTTTGCTGATAAGAAAACTAGGGCACAGAGACCTTTAAGTATTTTGCTAATGAGGAACAGAATCAAGTTTGGAACGCTGGCAGACCTGCCTTTGGGCCAGGCTCTACCATTCATGAGTTACTTCCTGTGCCATGATCCAGAAAAGAATCACCAAGTATTTAGTGAAAGCCTATTGTGTACCTGGTCCAGTTCTAGACACTGCAGAGAAAAACTCCCACCTAAAAATTAATAAGGGAAGCTGGCGCCGCGGCTCACTAGGCTAATCCTCCGCCTAGCGGCGCCGGCACACCGGGTTCTAGTCCCGGTCGGGGCGCCGGATTCTGTCCCAGTTGCCCCTCTTCCAGGCCAGCTCTCTGCTGTGGCCAGGGAGTGCAGTGGAGGATGGCCCAGGTGCTTGGGCCCTGCACCAAATGGGAGACCAGGAAAAGCACCTGGCTCCTGGCTCCTGCCATCGGATCAGCGCGGTGCGCCGGCCGCAGCGCGCCGGCCGCGGCGGCCATTGGAGGGTGAACCAATGGCAAAGGAAGACCTTTCTCTCTGTCTCTCTCTCTCAACTGTCCACTCTGCCTGTCAAAAAAAAATTAATAAGGGGACAGCGCTGTGGTGTAGTGGGTAAAGCCGCTGCCTGCAATGCCAGCATCCCATATGGGCGCCGGTTCTAGTCCCGGCTGTTCCACTTGGGATCCAGCTCTCTGCTATGGCCTGGGAAAGCAGTAGAAGATGGCCCAAGTGCTTGGGCCCCTGCACCCACGTGGGAGACCCGGAAGAAGCTCCTGGCTCTTGGCTTTGGATCGGCACAGCTCCGGCCATTGTGGCCAATTGGGGAGTGAACCAGTGGATGGAAGACCTCTCTCTCTCTCTCTCTCTCTCTTTCTGTATGTGTGTAACTCTAACTTTCAAATAAATAAATCTTTTAAAAATTTAATAAGTAAAATAAGAGTATGGATTATCATAACTGTCAAGAAGAAAAATAAAGAAGGAAGAGGAATAGAGAGGGAAAAAAAGGGCAAGAAAAGGTTACTGTTTTCAATATTAGAGTGAGCACACCCTAGTAAGCAAGGCTGGCTCAAGTGGCTGGGTCCCTGCCACCCATGTGGGAGTGAGAGACCTGGATTGAGTTTCCAGCCCCTGGCTTTGACGTGGTCCAGCCCCTGGCCATTGTGCAGATTTGAAGAGTGAACCAGGGGCCGGTACTGTGGCACAGTGGGTTAAGCCACCGTCTGCAGCGCCAGCATCCCATTATGGGTTCCGGCTGGAGTCCCAGCTGCTCCACTTCCAATCCAGCTTCCTGCTAATGCACCTGGGAAAGCAGTGGAAGACGGCCCAAGTCCTTGGGCCCCTGCACCCACGTGGGAGACCTGGAGGAAGTTCCTGGCTCCTGGCTTTGGCCTGGCTAAGTCCTGGCCGTTGCAGCCATTTGGGGAGTGAAGCAGCAGATGGAAGCTCTTTCTCTCACTTGCTCTCTCTCTCCCTCCCTCTGTTGTTCTCCCTTTCAAATAATTTTTACAAATTTAAAAATAAAAAAGTGAATTTTGTTTGCTTTTTTAAAGATTTATTTATTTATTTGAAAGTCAGAGTTACACAGAGAGATAGAAAGACAGAGAAAAAGAGAGAGAGAGAGGTCTTCCATCTGCTCTTCCAGTTGGCTGCTTTCCCAGGCAGATTAGCAGGGAGTAGGATCGGAAGTGGAGCAGCCCAGGACTTGAATCAGCATCCATATCGGATACCAGCATTGCAGGCGGCTTGCTCTCTCTCTCTCTCTCTCTCTCCGCCCCCCCCTCACAAAATGAACAATTTTTAAAAATTAAGACTAAAGAAGTTGCATTGGCCAGCTCTGTGATAAGAATAGACTACAGGGCTTGGGGCATAGGAGTAAGACCAGTCAAGAGGCTTTGCCAGGGGCCAGCGTTGTGGCACAGTGGGTTAAATCACTGCTTACAATGCAGTATCCCGTATGAGTGCTAGTTCGAGTCCTGACTGCTCTACTTCTTATCTGCTCCATGCTAATGTGCCTGGGGAAGCAGCCAAAGATGGCCCAAGTGCTTGGGTCCTTGCATCCATGTGGGAGACCTGGATGGAGTTCCAGGTTCCTGGATTTGTCCTGGCCCAGACCTGGCCATTGCAGCCATTTGGGAGTTAACCAGTGTATAGAAGATCTCTCTGACTCTCTCTCCCTCTGTCTGTAACTCTGCCTTTCAAATAAGTAAATTTTCTTTAAGAAAATTTAAAAAAAAACTAAAAGGAAATACAGGAAACAAGATATACTGACAGGAGATGTGATAGAATGAGAGGAATCAAGAATGACTCCAAGAGTTCTGGCCTGAGCATGTGCAAGAATGGAGTTTCTGTTGACAGAGATGGGTAAGGCTGTGGGAGGAGGGGGAGGTTGGGGGAAGAGCCAGAACTCAGTTTCCAGCCTGTGAATTTTGAGATGCCTTGCACGTGTAAGAGGTGGTGGCCAGGAGGCAACTCACACTTCCCTAAGGATTCAAGGCAGTAAGCTTCCCTCAGACTTTGCCATCTCACTCCTCACTCCCAGAGACCCTAGTTTGAATACAGTGGAGATGGCATGGAAAGCAAGCCTAGGTGTTTGAGAGCCCAGTGCCAGGAACACCCAATTGTTGGCAGCTGTGGGTTTGGGGCTCCCTAAGTATGGGCATTTGAGGCCAATCTGGGTCTGGAGGACTCGGAGGATGAGCTGGGCCGTGCCTTTGGGGAGGGGTGGGCAGACAGCAGTGGAATGCACTCGCAGCGCAGCAGGGAAGCACTGAGGACCCTGAACTTGATCCTCAGGTCCTGAGAATGTTGCTCAGCTGGATCCTGAGAGTGAGAGGAGGAGGAGGCAGGCCTGCAAGGAAGCCTCTAGAATTTAGAGTCTCGATCTCTTGGAAGACCGAAAAACTTGGGTTCCTTGCCCTGTGACAGGGTAGGGGTTGGGATCAAAGGTAGGGGTGGAGGAAGCAGTCACAAAGCTGAAGCCTAGGCTAGACTGCTATGACACTGCATAAAAGGCCCAGGTTTTTGTAGGCAGACAGACATGAATTCAAGTCCTCATTCTTCCACGTGTTAGTTGTATGACTCCAAAGACCTCTTTGTAACTTAGTTTCCTCACCAACCTTTTAGGATTTTCTGAATACTGAATTGGTTAATAGGTGTGGAAACACTTTGTAAACCACAAGATGCTGCAAATCCATAAGGTATTTTTTGTTGTTTTGTTTTGTTTTGCCAGGGATGAACCTGGTCTCTTCCGAGGACGACAAGTGTTACTTGAGGCTTAGTGCACTTAAAAGAAGCGCTACACTGGAGAAGCCCTGGCCCCAGCCACTTCCTTCTTCTGCCACAAGCTGGTTTAGCTCTGCCGGGTTGCCTCTGACTTAGCTCTACCGGCTCTCTGCTCTGAGCCGGACCCAGCTACAGCTGCTACTGCTGCCACCACTGCCACCTAGTGGCTACTTCAGGAAAAGACCGCTCCCTGCATCCCCCACCGGAAGTCCTTAGCTTCTATTGTCCTCACCTGAGCCCTGAGGCCTGCCGAGCTGCAGATTAGACTCACTGCTGTGAAACTCTTCTTCATTTTGGTTTCTGTGATTTTGCATTAGTCTAGTTCTCCTGTTCCTCTGAATGATCCTTCTTTTTTTTTTCTTTTAAAGATTTATTTTTTTATTTGAAAGGCGGAGTAATAGAAAGAGGGAGATACAGATAGAGGGAGAAAGAGAGAGATCTTTCATCTGCTGGTTCACTCCCCAAATGCCCGCAACAGCCAGGGCTGGGCCAGGCAGAAGCCAGGAGCCTGAAACTCCATCTGGGTCTCCCACGTGGGCAGCAGAGGCCCAAGGACTTGGGCCAGCTTCTTTTACTTTCTCAGGCTCATTAGCAGGAAGGTGGCTCAGAAGTGGAGCAGCTGGGACTCAAACCTGCACTTGTGTGGGATTCCAGCCTCACAGGTGGCAGCTGAATCCACTGCACCACAACACCGGCCCCTGGCTATTCCTTCTGACTCATCTCTGACTTCTTTTTGTCTTCCTTTCCCCAAGGAGCACCTTCTATTCCCCTTGCCTATCTTCCCTTCTGGCATAAGAACATCCATTCGCCGGATTTCAGCTGCCACTTAGAGGCTATCAGTAATTCTAATGACCAAGGAATTCCAGCATCCAAATCTTTTTCATGGAGATGTATCTCTCCCCCTTGATACTGTTATCACATTCAGTTTCCACAGAGGTTATGGCACATACCACAGACTGCTTAGAATCAAACTCATCTGTGTTTTTGTCCATCTTCTTCGGATCCTCCACACCCCTATGCTGGACCTTGACACTACACACTTGGTTTGACTTGCTTTTCCTTTTTTTTAAAGAATTATTTTATTATTTGAAAGACAGAGTTACAGAGAGAGGTAGAGCCAGAGAGAGAGAGGTCTTCCATTCCTCTGGTTCACTTCCCAAATGACCACAACAGCCAGAGCTGAGCTGATCCGAAGCCAGGAGCCTCTTCCAAGTCTCCCATGAGGGTGCAGGGGCCAAGGACTTTGGCCATCTTCTA